CCCCAAAACCCCAAAACCCCAAAACCCCAAGTGGTCTAATTATTAGCTAGTTAAAACTAATTAAATGTAAAAATAGGAAATTAATCAATTTTTAGTATTTGCAGTGCTTGTTCCCCTCTTGAAAAGATTGTAAACATATCTTAATGAAGTCGCATGTCTCAGTCCCTCTTCCCTGAGAGTGTGAACTCTTTCCTCCAGCTCAGGCAACTCAATTCCAGAATCATCCTCATAGACTTAAACTTGGTTCAATTCTATATCGTTCATAACTTTCACATAAGAAAGCACCATCTATAAATACTCCTAGTGCATTAATGTTTCTTGGTCTGATGACTTTTACATTCCATGAAGATGATGGACTGCGAGATTTGAAAATTCTTACACTTCAAATAACTCTTACTCTTAGTCTACACTTAAAAGGATATTGCTTTCCCCGCTGTTAAATATCAAAACTTGTTTATCTTGTCTACCTTCTACTAGCTTGACTACTCTGTTGCATATTAAACTATCACATATATCTGCAAAGTAGAATTCTGCATCTGTCCTTATTTTGCTCTTGAATCCTACTTTCTCCATTGTGTAATAGAGAATTTTCTCAGCCTTAATTATGTAGTCTCTCAAGTTTACCTTGTTTTTATTCGAAAATTAAGAGTTTTCCTTGAGAGTTGAAGCATTTTAAAAGCCCGGTAGCTTTGTAAGAATGTAGATTTAGGTGATTTGAGAGTTATCATCATAAAACTGAGATGCATTGAAATCTGTCTGAGATATTTACTTGCTGTTTATTTATTGAACATAAATATCTTAAGCCTAGATGAAGGTATCTGAATTCATGTGCTGCATATTCTGCTCAGCTATCTAGTCATTCTCATTAAACTTTAAATAGCATCGGTTTTCCTCAATTAATATTACTATCGACTAGGTCTCTAAAATATATTGAGTTAATGAAACATTTATTACTGTCAGGTTAGATTGCATTCTTAACTTGAGATGGTCTCATAATTTTAATAATAGGCACTATATCTCCGTAAATTTACTTGAGTCCTCTTAGGATGTTATCCTCCTTTTCATTTAAATCATCAACAGTGAATAAGTCTTCCAAATGATTCTGGTTATGCTCAATATTCGACTACTCCTCTATCATGTCTTTTCTCTCAAGGACTCTTATGCGATATTTCAAAGTCTTGGCCTTTAGATATGAATATGAATTGTGCCAAACTGCTTTGTATACTCCAGGTTTCAAAAGTAGAACAGTACCCTAAATAAAGAATATAATGTCAAAATTTTACTGAAATTGGTTTTAGATGCGAATCACACATACTATATCTAACAACCTCTTCATTATTAACTTCTTCCCAATTACCGGATACTTATTTAAGCTACCCAACTTTTTCAATAGAAAACCCAATATTATATTCTTAAGTTGTAAAATTGTAATGCAATATAGATTATGGTTTGTTAACCACGATGTATTGCTTAAAGTTTTATTTAGGCTAAATTGTTTACTCTAATGGAAACCCACTTTTAATGTGAAGCTGGTTTAATTCCAAAGCATTTTCCTATTCTACCTAGTTAATGTAGAATATTGAGCTGAAATGGGGATTAAACTTAAGGATTTCAAGTGACTTCTCTTCTCTAAGTTTTTTCTTAAAATTTTCAGTAGTTTCGAAAGAGTTCAGGAGATGATAGTAAAACAAAGCAGCTATCTTATGTTTCTTTACAACTTCTATCTCAGCAAAGTTTTACAGGCAAGTCAAGATTGTATCCTCCAAAACCACTTAGTGCTTTTCAAAGATCTCGTAAAAGCGCTTCAGCAATCTAAGACATGACACTTAAAATTTGAAAGATTTGTGCCTGGTAATTAAGGCATTTATGCCAAAAGCAAATACCTTATATAACTTTTTGCATTTTGACCTTAAGTACTTTTTGAATTCTTTATCAACATAAACGACCAATGCATCTTATCCAGCTTGATTTTTAACTTTCATTAGGTATTCAGTTTGAGCAATCAAAGTTTCTAAAATCTTTGAAATGCTTGATAGAATCTCCTTTTCATCCTCTTTAATATCCTATTCAGTTGATTCCGCAACTGGATTTCTTTATCTTTCCTCATAGGATTTTATCAATCTCTAGCACACTGAAATGAATACAACTTGCAGCTTATCAATAAAATGCTTTAAAATTATAAACTAATCTATTTCTTACCTTTAATTGCATATCGAGACTGTGGATTTGAGATAACTAAATCTAAAGAGATTCAAGTAGCATCAAATGATGATCAAGATCTGGAGTGTCTCTAAGATCCCTAGCTAAGTCACTTACTTCTACCCTCAGCTTTTCCTTTTGTAGCTCAACCATCCTTAATAGATCATCTTTGCTTTCATTCGATAGTCTATCAAAAGTACTGTCGGTATTGGTGCTTGCAATTAGGCAACTATTAGCTAGTTTTAATAAACTTGATGCTAATTTTTTTGTATTAATGTTTATGGGAAATCTTGATTCTAAACTAGCCAATTATCCCAGTAACCTTGCCTTAAATTCATTGAAATTTATACTTATATTTTGATCCCCAATTCTCTTTATTTCTGTTTACTGTTGTAGATACATAGGCTTATTTTTGGATGAAACTAAATATGCAAGGACTCTCTAAACCAATAGTAGGCCTTGAATATCATCACAACGTTAAGTATAATCTAGAAGTCGCTGAGTCAAAAACATTTGACACTAGATAGTCTACTCGCTGGATTGAAGCTAAAATTGCTCAAATACTGTCTCTATGCCATATAATTCCAAAAGACTTAATAGTTTTGAAGCATAATTTGGAACCTTGATATAAAATTATAGTTAATCTGAAAGAATATTACCTTAGAGGGATGCTTTAAGATCTAAGATATGATTTTAAGTTTATCCATCTTTTAATCCATCTGAATAAGGTTAAATTGTATATATTCAAATTTTATAATTTCAAGATATACTTTTCTGGCGGGGTTTTGGGGTTTTGGGGTTTTGGGGCATAACTGCATTAACTTTCATTTCCATCCTCCTT